CAAGAAGTGGGATTCCAGGGTCAAATGGTATTTCTATTTTTAAGTTTTTTGATGAACCTTCATATTGCTTTCCACAGTGGTTGAACTAGCTTACATTCCCACCAGCAGTGTAGGAGGGTTCCCCTTTCTCCACATCCTCACTGACATTTGTTGTTCTTAGCCTTTTCGATGCTGGCCATCCTCACTGGTGTGAGGTGATATCTCATTGTGGTTTTAACTTGCATTTCTCTGATGATTAGTGATGTGGAGCATCTTTTCATGTGTCTGTTGGCCGTCTGAATTTCTTCTTTGGAGAACCGTCTCTTCATATCCTCTGCTCATTTGTTAATCGGGTTATTTGCTTTTTGGATGTTGAGGTGTGTAAGTTCTTTACATATTTTGGATGTTAACCCCTTGTCGGATATGTCATTTACAAATATATTCTCCCATACCGTAGGATGCCTTTTTGTTCTGTTGATGGTGTCCTTTGCTGTACAAAAACTTTTTAGTTTGATGTAGTCCCATGAGTTCATTTTTGCTTTTGTTTCCCTTGCTCGAGGAGACGGGTTCAGGAAGAAGCTGCTCATGCTTATATTCGGGAGATGTTTGCCTATGTTGTCTTCTAAGAGTTTTATGGTTTCATGACTTATATTCAGGTCTTTAATCCATTTCAAGTTTACTCTTGTGTATGGGGTTAAACAATAATCCAGTTTCATTCTCTTGTATGTAGCTGTCCAGTTTTGCCAACATCAGCTGTTATGCAACTGAATTTAATTTGATGGTTCAACACTGAACTGAGACCTGGCATTTAAAAAAAATTAGTGTCATATGCCTTAAACTATCAAATTCTTCATAGAAATTTCCTTTCACAGAAAATAACAGAGTTCTTTCTTTTATAGTCATTCTTGACTTTGAATGAGTGGCTTTTCCACATTTGGAAACACCCTGGGTAAGAATATATGCTTGTTGGGAATTTCACCAGTTGGTGAATCAATCAAGCAATATCTAGGATATTGCATAATAATACACTAATTCTTAAGACTTTTAATGTGGAAAATGCCTGGTTAATATAAGTGGGAGTTGCCTGATTAATTACAAATCAGTAGGGGAAAGATAGGCTCTTTAATAAATGTTGGTAAAATTGGCTATGTGTGTTGTTAAAAAAAATCACCCTCAGCTAGTAATCATGGAGTTGTAACATAAAACTGGAATGAAATAACATTTTTACCCACCAGTTTGGCATATTTTAAAGAGAGGTGGTTATCAAATGGTGGATGTGCCAATGAAGGAGAGCATATTCTGATGCTGCTTATGGAGTCGAACTTGGCCCAGCCCTTTGGGAGGGGGATGCGTAGTGTCTGTTCAGATTGAAGACGGTAGCCCTTATGTCCCCATGGGCACACGTTCCAGGGTATACGCATTACAGCTTTATTTGGAATGGTTGGGTTGGTTCCAAATTTTGTTGTCAGGGGAGTAAATACAGTACTAAACAGTATCAAATATACTATACTGTGTAATAAAATGCTCTAAAGCAATTAATTAAATAAGGCAAATTATGACCATGTGCATAAAATTTGGTATAATTCCAAAGGAGTGTAAAAAAGGAAGTTTGATGCCATTCTCATAAAACAAATGGACTGGAAGAGTCCACACAACTAGTACTAGGGCCTCTGGGAATAGGGAGAGGAGACCCACATGGAGGGGGATTGGGGGGTCAGAGATTGACACTTTATCTGTAATGTTCTAATTTAAAATACACAATTTTTCATATATTTGTATAGTTTAGAAAAGAACATACACAGAGAAAGGCCGGGGGACAAATATGACAAAACATTAACCATGGTGAATTCTGGAATGAGATCATGGTTGATTGTTATTTTCTTTATATCTCTAGGTATGTTTTGAACCATCCTCGAAGTCTTAGACTCTTCATCTTAACTGGAGAGTCATCAGCCTTATTTTCATTCTGTTTTCCTAGAAAACGTGGACACAGACTTGCAGGCCAGCCTGGGGCAGTGTGAGGAGAAGCCCGTGCCCGCTGCCCCTGTGCCCAGCCCAGTGGCACCAGCCCCAGTGCCATCCCGAAGAAACCCCCCCGGTGGCAAGTCCAGTCTTGTCCTGGGTTAGCTCCGACTGTCTGGAACTCGTTGTTGTTTTCTCCATGCTTGTGAACTGCACAACTTGAGCCTGACTGTACACCTTTGGATTTGTTTCATTAAAAAAGAAGCACTTTATGTACTGCTGGTTTTTTTTCTTTTTTCCTTTTTGAAGATGAGCTTTCTCTTTATGTGTCCTGATTCCTCTGGGTCTGTAGGCCCTGGCATGAGTGTTTTCTAGCAGTAGGCTGGAGGGAAAGCTTTGTGACACTTAGTAGTGTGTTTTTAAGGACAAGTAATTTGGTTTGAAATGTGTTAGAGGATCTTTTGTACTGAGGTTTTAAACCCTTTTCTTGTCAGCTTTACTTGGTTTTCCAAGCCTTGATCAGACAGCTCAGTAAACTGCCCACAGGCACCGCTCCTTCAGGCCCCTGACCCAGGGTTGTCATTATGCCGAACCTACTCGGTATTGCCCGAACTTGTCAGTGCCCTTTGCTAAAAGCATCTCCCTGTGCCATATGGAACGATAAAGAGGCCTGCGCCTCATGCCTTGCTGCCTGCACAGCAAAAACCTGCCTTTTATTTTTGAACCTTAAGAAATAAGCCAGATAGTAACTTGACCAGTTGATGAGCAGAGCCCTCTGCTCTCATGCAGAGAAAAACTTCGGTGTTCAGTCAAACTGACGATTCCAAGTGGTGAAGCCAGCAAGGGCGGTGGCCACACGAAGTGGGCCTTTATCAAGAATGAACCCATGGGGGCTGTGCTCTTCAGTTACCTGAGGCTGGGTGCTTGACCCTGAGACAAATCCTCATCCTTTGAAATGTGTGTTGTACTTCACCATCCTGGACTGTTGCTTAAAGTAAACAATGTACCAATTTTGAAACACTGTGTCCTGTGTCATCTTTTTTGAGATTAAGTATTCTACCTGCTTAGTTGCTTTTTTCTTTGTTACTGTAAATCCTGCTGCTCAGTGATTTGGTGAGTCATTAGATTGATGAAGGGCCAGAGAGAAATAGGCTTCTCTCTGAAGAAAACTGAACAGAACAGGTTTAAAGTCATGGCATGAGTTCAAAATGCCAAGAAATGAGAACTCTGTGATAGCCTTAACAAAATACAGGAATACTATGGATAACCGATATCCAAAATAATTAGTAGCCAGTATATTATAGACCCTTCTCCCACCTACCCTTTGTGCTGGGTGGTAACATTTAAAATTTTAAGTCCTCATGCCTGCAAGGTGTTTCTCAATATTGGATGGTCAAAGAAGAGGGTGCCAGAGGACAGAGGGCCCTGGCAATAAGGGGACAGAGGGATTGGGTCTGAGTCTTCTCAAGACAGAAGATAAGAAAGCTCTTTGAGTTCTAGGCAGAAAGTTCTAGATCAACATGCTATATTAAATGTTCAAATAGCATTACCAAGGCTTTTTTTATTTTTTATTTTGGTATCATTACTCTACAATTACATGAGGAACATTATGTTTACTAGACTCCCCCCTTCACCAAGTTCCCCCCACATTCCCCATTGCAGTCATTGTCCATCAGCGTAGTAAGATGTAGAATCACTGCTTGTCTTCTCTGTGTTGCATAGCCCTCCCTGTGCCCCCCCCCCCAAATTATACATTAGTCATAATGTAAGGCTTGTTTTTTATGTCTAGCTGCTACTGACTGGCTCTGTTCCTTTGGCTTGTCATTTGGGGCTCAAATTTCCTAACTTAAAAAGTGAGGTCTTTGAGCTAGGTTACCTCTAAAGCCCTTCCTGTGATTGAGGTGACCACCCGGTCATATGAACTACTGGACATCTCTGTGAGGAACACGGGTAGTTATAGGTTGTGGGAATGGGTTAAGTTTTCCTCCCTTACAGCGTAAAGCATTTGCAAAATGGAGACTTAACAGCTAGGCTACAGGATTCTTCCAATTTTACTAAGACAGGTTCACCCTACTAGCTTGAGTTATGGCTAGCAACTACTCTCAGTAATGCTGGAAAAAGGGTGTTTCTGACTTGTGTCTAACTTGGCTTTAGCTTTTTATTTTGTGAAGAGGTAAGTGCCTAATCAAAGTTAAGCTGTTCTGAGGGAGTGAGGGAGGGACAGTACAAAATGTACAAAGTGATTTGTACTACCAGACAAATTTTAGGAAATTCTATGTCCGCATGTTTGCTAAGGGTGTTAAACATTCCAGTGAGAAAGCTTAGGGTTTAGAAAGTGAAGTTGAATGATGGTGGAAAGAATCAGCATTTCATTGATGGTTTGGACTTATTACCCAGTTTGTGTGACTTAGCAGCTTAGTGAAGGAGGGGGGAAAAAGAAAAAGTATCCATTGCTTATCGCGGATTGTACTTGAGTTTTAAAATTAGATCACCTTAGAATGGGAGGCCAGGCTCCCCTTTAATGCTTGGGTTACATTGGTTTGGAAGTAGTGCAGTGCCCAGATGGGGAACTGCAGGAAGATGGGTTACTTATATCTGAGTTTATAGTTTGTAGGTAAACATATTTGGATGCAGTCAGGAAATTGCATGAAATCTACAAAAAGGGAAGTCAACAAAATTTAGCAATATTCATTATTTTCTTGGGGGTGGGGTGTGTATGCATATAACTAGATTCTAGAGAACAGGTGTGAGCCCAAGAAAAGGCAGTCTGAACTGGCAGGATCCCCCACGACTTGGGCGAGGCGTTGGTGACCCTGGCCCAGGGTTTGGCATATTCCTGCACCTCCAGTTCTACAGGATCTCGGGAGTGAAGGCCTCTACTGACAGGCAGGGTGACAGAACTGCTATGGGCCCCAAAACATGACACAGGCATTTTAAGAGGTGAAAGTACACCACAGGTTTGGGGAGTTCTAACTTCTCATTTGAAAACGCCTCCCAGTGTTCAGGACCGGCCCTCTAGGGCTCTTGGAAGGTCGGCCCCAGTACCTGGGGTGAGCAGGGACGTCCGCTATAGAGTGGACGGGGGATAATGCGCACGCAGGCGCCTTCACAGGCCAGCTGGGCAATTGAGGATCAGGGAAGTGATCCCACGCCATGTCCTGGCGAAGGCCTCCTGCCCAGCTGGGCCGGGTACCCGGGTCTCCATACTAATTAGCCCTGGTGCTGCCCCGCCCACTCCGCGGCTCGGGAAGATGCGGCCCCTGCGCCCTCCCCATCCCCCGCCCCGGCCCCACCCGTTCCCGGTGATGGCGGCACAGCGATCACAGCCCGTGAGGGTGCTGGTGGACATGGACGGCGTGCGGGCAGACTTTGAGGCCGGCCTCCAGCGCGACTTCCGCCGCCGCTTCCCTGGGGAGCCGCACGCGGCGCTGGACGAGCGCCATGGTTCCCTCGCCCGCGAGCAGTACGGAGGAGCACTGCGGCCCGACCTGGCGGTGGGCAACGGGCGAGGGCGCAGCGGGGGCCGCCCGGGAGTGGAGAGCCGGTCCCCGCACATCATCCAGGTGCGGGGACCCCCGTCCCCACAGCGCTTCCTGGAGCAGGGAGTCCGACCCCACAGGGCCACCCAGGAGCCGGGGGCCGGTCCCCACAGGGCGCCCAGGAGTGGGAGCTCCCCTTGGGCAGGGCTGTCTCTGCTCCATTTCTGGAGACACCTTTTCTCACTTCTTTTTTTTTTCACTCTGCATTCCCTTTGCCCTGTAAGAGGTCAACCTTAAGGGAGTATAGAACCTCCTCCGTCACTCCTGACCCCAGCTTTCCATGAGTCCCACCTCTCCTGTGCTGATGGGCGTACACTGGGGGCTGTGAGCCACCCACTTTATACCAGTATTTGACCCTCGGTCTCGCTTGAGCCCATCTTCCCTGCATCCTGGAAGCCATCCTGGGCCTGAGCTGTGCTTCTCAGGGCAGGTACGCCCTCTAACCTTGATGGCAGAGGAGGGGGGCCAGGGCTTTCAGGCAGAGACCATGGAGTGGCGAGGGGGGATGACGCAGCTCCGAGGGTTTGTGCCTGTAATCTGATGTGTCTTGGCCTTAGCCTTAATTCCTGATGACTGCATTAACATCATTTGTCTTCTAAGCCCTAACACGGTGCCTGGCAGATAAGCCTTTGTGGACAAATGGTTAATCCTGGGCTATAGAGTTCTCCAGGCTGGTGTCCACCACACCCAGTGCCCAGACTGGAGAGCTTGCAGGGCAGGTATCCAGCCCCCATAGCTCTGAAATGGGTGTGTCACCTTCCCAGAGCCCCAAGATAGTTTTAACAAGGCTTCTCATTTCTATTCCTCCAAACTACTCCAAAAATTTGTTCTGGGATAACTCCTATTTCTCCAAGCACAAGCAGTTCCCTAAGGCCCAGGCCCAGCTGCTGCTCCCGAGAACCCTCTTCTGCACAGCCTCAGATGTAGGGACCCAGCTACTCCTTACATGAGGCTGAAAGCCTGGCAGTGGGCCAGGTCAGGAGGCAGGAGCTTCACCTGCAGTTCACCTATGAAAAGGGTACTGCCTTGGGTTTCCTTCTCCGCATCTCAGTCCTGCTTCACGCATCTCCTAATGCCTTTCACTGCAGTGTAAATACCTGCCACTCAGGAGACTCACCTTTAAAGCGGCTGAAAAGGCCCCACTTGGGGAGAAGCAGCTCAGTGGAAGCTATGCTGCTTGGCTACGCTGAGTCCATCCCCAGGATTGTGGTCTTGTCTCTAGCAAGGGTGCCGTGGCCTTGAGGTCTCCTTCAGTCAGGGCTGTTTTGGGGCCTCGGTCCTTGGCAGTGGGATACCCAGGGCAGAATGGGCCTGCCAGCTGCGGGCTTCAGCCACCTGGCTTGGGGAACAGAAATCTTCCAGGAAGATCTGGGCCAGATTCCGGAGTCTCGTGTTGGCCGAGAGAGAGAAGCGCAGCATGCACTGGACCACAGGCCTAGCGGTCAGCTCGGGGTGGGAGCCGGGGCCTGGTGAGGTCAGGTGCATGATCGTGGTGACAGCAGACAGCACGGTCTCCTCATTGGGACTGGACAGGCAGTTGATGATGAGCGGGATGCCCCCTGTCTGCAGGATGTGCTCCTTGTTGGCCTTGTCTGGGCACAGGTTGCAGAGGCCTCCTGGGGAAGAGCAAGGAGTCTGGATGCCTCCGTCCCAGGCCTCCTCCCACCTCCCCCTCCCAGCTCCTTTCTGTCCACTGAGTCTCGAGGACGGACCCAGGCCTATGAGAAGGTGGCCCAGAGACAAAGGACGCGAAGAAGTCCACTCTGGTCTCCAGCCCTCCCTTTCAAGGTTCCTGACAGGCCCGCCTGCAATCACCTGCCACTTCTGATGGTGGGCACCAATCCCTTTCCCTCAGTTCAGCCAGGTCAAGGGTTAATATACTTTCCCTTTTCTAAAGTAAAAAACAAAAACAAAACCCACAATACATCATCACTTTAGAATTTAAGACCCAGGTAAGGTGATGGTTTCATGGGTGTATTAATATCTAAACTTACCAAACTGCACCCTTTAAATATGTGCAATCCATTGTGTCAATTATATCTCAATAAGGCCATTAAAAATATTAGAAGCCAAAATATAAACCACCTTAATCCTACTATCTAGACATCTTAATGTGTTTTACATTCCAGAATTTTAAATATGGAATACATATAAAAATTTAAAATGTGACTTTCCTCACTGTTTTGTAAGCCAGCCTTTTCATTTAGCAATGTATTATGAGCATCTTTTCATGCCAATAAATCTACAATCGTGCCATCATTTAATGGGTATGCAGTGTACCATTTTATGGATGCGGTATAATTTACGAAGGGGTTAGAGCATTTCAGCAGCATGTTCTTAGCACTGTTACCAGGGCTGAGGTGCGGTGGGTTAGGCTGGGTAAGGGGCCAAGATTGTGGATCAAGAGCCCACTGCTCAGGTGGTACGGCTGGTGCCCCCATTCTCTCACATCAGGCTTATGAACACTGCCCCCTTGATTTTGTGACCTTTGGGCTCAGGGGATGGATGCTACCTTGCCTTGGGGGCCACTGCACAGCACGGCATTCGAGGCCGACGCTGACTCCCGCGAGTGCTCACTGAGCTTCCTGCCATCATGGCGCTCTGCACAGGCAGGGCTCCCAGCTTATTTGCATAACATGGCAGACCAGTCCTGGCTGTCCAATCAGGGGCCACAGCCCGCCCACCTCTCCTACTTCTCTACCAACAAGAAGAAGGCTTTCCCCCATCCTCCAATCCTAACTCAACAGTGCAGCACGTCCTGCTGGGGAAGGTGCCCGAGGAGGAAACCTTCCCAGGGACACTCCTCTTCCTGCTCCTGGGGGCAGGAGTCTGCCCAGGCCTGGCACTGCCGCCCCCTCCCTAGCAGTACCTGGGTCTGTTTGAGCCCTGCTACAGGGAAACGTTTGTAAAGGTTGCTCAGCCTCCAGGGACTTCCCACTGCATCTGGTACAAAACCCAGACTCCCTTCCGTGGTCTCTGCGGCCCGGCACTGTCCGTTCTGGTCCTTCTCCCTTTCCCGGTCACTCACAGCGGTCACCAACCTCAGCCCACCGCTGTCTGGGGACATTTTGGCCCCAGAGCTTCACACGCAGCCATTCTCTTGCTGCCAGCTAGCACGTCACTGCTGGCTTGCCGGGGAGGCTTCCCCGGGGTATCCCACCAGCCGCTTCCCCGCATCCAGGGCACTCCCACCGCCGTTGCATTTACTTCATATGCTTACAACTCTGAGAAATCTAACCGGACTTTTCGCGCTCACACCCGCAGGGTCACACTAGAAGGTACCTGGTACCTGGCCAGGGACCAAGCCCTCCGCGGCTGTCTTATTCCCACCACGTTCTGGGAGCCTTAGCTCAAGAGATGCCCCACAGGTATTTGTTGGAAGGATAGTAAGGCAGCGAGCAGGGGAAAAGGGCTGAACGGCAGAGGGCTGAAGGGTTGGAGAGGCCGGCGCCCTGAGGTCCTGCCCACCTTGGACTTCAGTTCTGGGATCACTGAGCACATCTGAGGGAGGGAAGGGGCGAAGTGGCACTCCTGGCGTCACAAGGAGGGAGACAAGGCACTCTGAAGGAGAGGCTGCTCCGTATGGGACACTCAGAAGCCTCCCCTGCCAGTTCACCCCCGTGGAACCCGTAGCACACCCTGGGGTCATCCTGTAGACAGCCCTGTTACTGGGCGCCATTAGGCAGGGCGGGGCCGTGCTCTCTAGTGTGCCTCCGTATACCAGGCGCCTGAAATTGTGGATACTCACTGGACACGTGACCGAACCTCACAGTGTTACTAACTATCACCTCCATTTTAGTGGAAGCAGCTTAGGCTGCTGAGAAACTTTCCCAGAGTCCCAGAAGACGAGGAGTCCTTTGCTGCTCCCACGAAAAAGGGCGCCTCTCCAGAAGCCACAAGGAGTTCTGCCACGGGAAGACGCCGGGCTCAGCCAGGAGCAGGAACAGGTGTAAATGCTCCGGCAGGCCTCTGGCCTCTCAGGCGCATCTGTCTGCATGATCTCTTCTGGGCAGAGGGCACTGAACCAGCTTCCAACGCACACTGTGGACTCAGTGGGGGTGGGCGCTGGGATTTATCTCTGCTCTAAGTGTGATAAGATGAAGCTGAGTCACTCTCTGGCTAGTGAGTCATCATCACACCCAGGTGTGCCTGGGTGGGACTCTGTCACCCAGGCCAGGGGATAACCAGATAGCATCTGCTGGAGCACGGGGGGGCAGGAGGCCTCCAGCCAGCTGGCCACACCTGCTCCCAGCGTGCGGGCCTGGGAAGCCTCCAAGGGCGGATCACATGTCTGCCTCACCAGCTGCCTGGGTGCCAATGGCAGGGAATCCTTGAAGCCCTCTGCCTGGCTGGCAGCGACCCTCAAGAGGTGAAAAGAGGGGAGAACACCTGTAAAGAGAGGGCTTCAGGGCGCGACGAGGCAGAGTGCAAGCACCCAAGGCAGCCAGATGGAGCCAGAGGAGCCGCGAGAAGCCAGGGACATGGATGCTTTGAGCCGCCCCCCCCTCCCAACCCCGAGTCCACCCGTGAACTTGCCTGGAAGAACTAAGAGGGCCATAGGAAAAGGGAGACACACAACCCGCAAGTTCTGAAGTAACGCCCAACAGAAAGCTGGTTAAATAAGAGCACGCTACATCTGTGTGATAGAAAATTACATAGTTCTTAAAAATCATGTTTTCAAAGAATTTTCATGAGGGAAGATGCTAAGGAGAAAAAAAAGTTCCCTTCATCATCTTCATTGCTTTTCTTCATACCTAAGAGTTTTTTGTCAACATGTTTTCTTGGCTGTTGGCCCACTAAGCTACAGATTCCGTTGAGAATGGGGACTCTGTCTTGTCTCATTCTGTAGCCTTACCCTCGCATAGAGCAGATGCTCAACAAATGACTGTTAAATGAACAGATATATTAAAAAAAAAGACAAGCTGGAAACACACCACATTAACAATGACTGTTTATGTAGTAGGATAATGGGTCATTTTTATTTTCTTTATTTTCCAAGTTTCCCTCCTTGATAAGATGTTATTTTTGTAATGAAGAAAAAGATATTCCTTTTTTAAAGCTGATTTTTACTCAGAACAATTCACCAAATGACACCATTAAAAAGATAAAAAGGAAAAGAGAAAAAAATATTCACAGAATATGTATCTCATAGAGGACTCATATCCAGGATATTAAAAAAAAGTCCTGCACATCAATCAACGATGAACAACACAATAAAAGAGAAATGAAAATTGAAACCACAATAAAATGCCACAATACACCCACCATCATGGCTAAAACAAAAAAGACGGTAGCATTAACTGTTGGTGGGGAGAGGAGCTACTAGAACTCTCCTATGCTGGTGGTGAGGAGTGTAACATGGCATAATCATTTTGGAAAACACTTGGCAGCTTCTAATAAAGTCATACCCTATGACTCAGCAACTCTACTCCTACCCAAATTGATCTGAGAAAAGTATGTATGTGTGTGTATATATATATATATATATATATATATATATATATAAAAGAAGACTTGTATAAAAACAGTCACAACAGCTTTATTCATAAAGGCTCCAAACTAGAAACAGCTCAAATCTCCATCAACAGGTGAATGGATGAACAAACTGTGGCATGTTCATAAGAAGACATGAACTAATGATACTGTAACAGTTTGGATGAACCTCAGAAACATTATGTCGAGTGAAAGAAACAAGATGAGTACATTCTATATGACTCCATTTACATGAAGTTCAAGCATAGGCAAAACTAACCTCTGGGGATAGTGGTTATAGTCCTGACTAGCCCGGGATGGAGGACGGGAAGGGCTGACTGACAGGGGGCAGGCATGAGGGCCCCATCTGGGACGAGGGAGATGGAGACATTCTGTATCTTGATTTAACTGGTTACATAGATGTACATACACCTTAATGAATTTTAAAAATGCATCAAACTGACACTTAGGATATGGGCATTTCACGGTATGTTGATCATGCTGCAATTTAAAACATGGTGGCCAAACAAAAGAGAACAAGTTCTGACTGGCTGATGAACATGTCTTAGACAAACCAGACAAGACAGGCAGAAAGTGAACAAGAGGTAAAAAGCAGGGCCCTTCTAGATGCAGGGAACTACGGATACCCTTGGGGAGGGGCAAAAGAGAAAAGCCCAAGTGCAGTCTGACAAACCTGGAAGCTGAGAAAGGTCAAGTAGGTCACCTCGGATCACACAGCAAGTAGGACACTGGTGCTGGGAGGGACAGGCAGTTCTAAGGACTGTCCCATGGATTAATGAGATCATGCTGACAAGTGTTTAGCCTGGTGCCGGGGGCAGGGCAAGCTTGGAGAGAGCAGCCCATCCCAGGTCAAAACCTTCAATTGGGACTATTTGTTCTTGGGTTTTACTTTAGTATCTTGAAAATGATTCTTTCTGAAATTTCAAGTTGAGTGACAGAACAGTATATAGAGAAAGTTACCATTATGTGTAAGAAGTGGGGAAGCACAGAATATATAATGCATATGTTCACATTTGCTGGTTTCTGAGGGGAAACAGGGTGGAAGTGACAGGAATAGAAGTGAGACTTCTCTGAAAATACCTTGTAATATAGTTTTGACTTAAACTGATGAATGTTTCATATA